CCGCTGTGGGCGTCGCCTGTGCGATATTCTCACTAACAGCCTCCGGCTTCGATAACGAGTTCTCATTCAGGCCATTCAGTGACCGTTTTAGAATCTCGGGACGCGCTATTCAACGGGCCGCTGGCTAGAAGAAACGCGCGCTGCCTTCGGCAGCGTATGTAGATCTTACTTCCTCCCGCGGCGCGAGGAAACAACTTGGTGGCCAATATAAAAAATGTATGAGCGGCTGATGCCGCCGTTGCAGGCAGAGTGCATTCAACGAATGAAAAGAACGCAAAAAAAAAAGGAGCGAGAGATAGATAGCGGTAGATAGCTTTTGATCCGAAGCTCGCAAACATTTTTGCCACATACATATACGCATTGTATATATTTGCGTATACATGCACAAATATGTACGTATGCACGTATGTAGTACAGGATCTTACTTCAGATAAATACGATATGGAATATTTTACAAGTAACGTTTCTCATTGGGCCGCTTTCAATTTCGCTCATGTAGCGTTCTTTCATTTAGTATTTGCAATGTAGAAACACAAAAGAAAAGAATTGTGTGCTGAGTGAATCGAAGTTATATAAAGTATATATTTCTATGAAATCATTTTATAATCGATAAAAAAATGAGGTTTTTGTGGTATTTATTCAATTTATGGCTGATATAAAGATTGATTGATGACAGATTTTTCGATTTTTACTGAAAGAATACGATTCATCATAATCTTTGGTTCACTCAGCACATAATTCCTTTCTCTTATGTTTCTACATTGCAAATATTAAATAAAAAACGCTACATGAGCCGAACTGAAGGTGGCCCAATGAGAAACGTTACTTGTCAGAAAGACCGATTTCAGGTCAGAAAATCTCCGATTTTAATTCTTACAACAGATTTTTTGATAAATTTCCAACCAATTTTCTCTCATTTTTGTGTTACAACTTTTAACTTACATTAAAAATCTTAAACATTAAATATCCTGATGAAATGAGAACGCAGACAAGTCCCGAGAGCGCAAAGAGCGCTCGAATAAACCGCGCCTGTACTGAGAAAAAAAAAGAGGATTACAACTGGCATAATTTAACTAAGTATAATGTATAGTTATTTTCGGTGCCAGTTGTATATTTGTTTGGCAAAACTATAAATATAATTATTATTATTACTAACATTATAATAACAGCATACAGCAATAATAATTATAAAAATTGAACATTCAACTATAATTATTTTATGCAATTTTCACAAATATCAAATACTCAAATTTTCTCTCAGTGTATATAGATAGACATCATATAGACAGAAATGTTACGAGTTATAAAATATCAGTATCTAAAAGAGTATATACATATACATATGTCTATATTTTTTTTAGACTATCGTCCGCCGTTCATTACATAATTGCCGTTCTAATCCCGTAAAACTGCGGAAAGCTATTTATATCTAAAGGTCACGTCCATGTCTTTGGCCATGAGAGCATTAGAAATTTATTTTGTTCGTGTGTTATGGATCTCGTAAATCCGCTCCGGAGCGCATATGCATCGTCTTCCTTTCGTAACACACATCAAATTTCGCGATATTAAATTATTTGCGCGGGATGACGCATCCGCGCAGCGATACAACCGGGCAATAAAACCTCGGACTTTCCAAGATACGCCGAGGCGCGTGTGTACGGCGGCGACGGTGGCAAGAAGTGGTATTCGCGAAATCGGTCAAGAATCCGTACGTACGGTATGGCCCTGTTTTCGACTGTGCAACAGCATATACCGTGGCGGAAAAGCGAATGGATGCCGGACCGAATAAAAAGCAACCAGGAGACGATTGGACGAGAGACTTCATAAAACAGAGACGCCGGGGGACGCGGTGGAACGGTCTCAGGCTAGCAAGTAAGACCTTTTCCGCGCTACATGAGACGCTAAAGCTTAGATAGCGGGCATAAAGTAAGGCGAGGATGTTCGCGTTATAATAAAAATTTAATCAGGAAGTACCTGAAAATGATGATGCTGTAGAATTTCTATCTTAGCCTCAATTTAAATTACCTTATCTCCTCTCACAAAGAAAATTAACGTTGTTAGCCGCATAATAGAGCTATAATCCAAGGAGATTTTTTTCCGAGTATATGATTCGAAATTAAATTCTTTAGAGATAAGTAATATCTGCGCCACATTTACCTTTTTTTTGCTACACGCCCGCGGAGTATCTTGTCATAATCACCGTTAATGCACATAAATGGTACGTTACTTAACGAATCTCGAGTCGGTGCCTTCGCTTAATGAGAATTTAATACGGCGGCCAACTATACGAAGTTGTTAAGCTTAACGTCGAAAATTTCAAGCTGTCGGGCGAAGTAAATTTTAGAATTGGAGATCCATGCACCGTTGATGTCCCTTCAGCAAATTTTCAAGTAGATTTTGCGAAAATATGAAACTGAGCTTACGTAAATTCCCTCCCCAGGGGATTTATTGCTGGAGAGATAAATAAATACGCGGCACGTGTTCGTGAAATAAAAAAAAATTTAATAATCTGACGAGCTTAGAAGAGATACGTGTCTCGCAATTCTATTACATATGGCAATGACATTTGCAATTGTAAACCTTTAGAGGACGGCATGCTCGGTCACGCTCGATTATTTGCAAATTGATTAAAAGCGATGTAAACAAGACAGTGCGTGGAAGGAGACAGTGGATCTCGTACACGCGGTGCAACGCTCGTGGCCGCGCCGAAAGGCAATTAAGTAACTGTATAACCCGGCCATCAAGTTCTTCCTCGTGCGAGCTCACCGGGCAAGCATACCGTTCCTCCTTTTTTTTTCCCTTTCCTTCTTCAAGTGCTCCCTTTCACGCTATCGAGGAGAGCGTGCTGCTTAAGATCGTCTCGCAGCTACACACCCGGCTATCGCGGTACCGTTAAACTTAGCAGAAAAGCGCGCTGATCGATTCGGCATCGAATCGACGACGCGAACAAGAAAATCGCGCTCACGCGGATGCATTTTTAGATGCTATAAAAATAAAACGTACAGCCCCTAACTAAGAAGTATATCTTCCGCTTTATTTTTGGACGACGTTAAATGATAACGTCGCAGAATAAAAGAAATAATGACGTAGGAGAGAAAATATGACCGATCGCACACTCAGAGAGGAACATAGAGATGGCAACTATAGAAGTGACAATTATACAAGTTTTATATGTAGAATTAATATACGCGGTTAAATCAATTATTTTTTGTAGTTGCAATCACTATATAAAATAGTTTATTTAACTGTGTCCTCTTATAAGCTGTCTCTCTTAATTTTTGCACTATAAAACTTGTGTAGTTGCCACAAATATATTTTTCTCTGAGTGCAGTTATTTAAATATAAAAAAAATTATTCTGTATAATCGCATATTCGAAATCGAAGATTTTTTTCTGCACGTAAAAGAAATGAGTATATATTAAAGTAACGTAACGCCTTTGTAATTTTATTAGGAATTAGAAACATTTAGGACAGAATACGTCTCGTCTAAGAGAGAGCTTTGAGATGATTCTTGTCGCGAATGGATCGGCGCTCCAGCAAGATCCTCCTAGGATAGGTTTCACGATATCGCTTTATGATGAGACGCATGACAAGTTATATTCACGTTATGTACGAATGACAGAGATATACTCACATATGCAGCACACGCCGAAACCGAGCGCGCACGGTCCGTGAGATTGCCCGTGCTGGATGCGGCACTCATATGTGTTCATGCATATTCCCTGACGTCGTTTGTCTTCGGACAGGCACTCTTCCTCGACCGGAACGGGAAAGAAGTTCAGCACTGCGGATAAACGCGAAACGAGTAAGATAAACCAGGGAAAAATTCCCTCCGTCCGTTCCGCGACCGTCAGATAATGTCGCTTTTCCGGATCGTTTTCCTTTTGCGACAAATTGCCGGGAATGTAAAATAAAATGTGGGGCAGATAAATTGGTTACGCGAGGAATCGCTGACGAAACATCTACAGATACAAATTTTACACTTGCTCTTTAGAACAATAGAAATTATTTGCTCAGGCCGTCTCTTTATTTTATTTTAAGCGCCGACACACTTCACGTTTTACGTTCGAGAGAGAACTCTTCCGTGAAGAGTACTCGGACAAAAAGTTCACTTCGTTGTTCCAATAATTTTTATTCAATTTCTTAGATAATCAATTGAAATGCAGCGAGTAATCAATTGCGTTTCTTAAAAACGACGCGTGTCTGACGGCTGACGACAGCGCAAACAAATAATTCGAACAGTAAAAGTACCGTCAAGAATTAGTAAATTATAGCATTTGCGCAATTATGTTTCTTGAACAGTTGTATTACATAATTTATCACCCGTTACGTATGCGTCGTTCAATACGCAGAAAATACATTTGGAAAAGTGCCTTTGCACAAATTCCCAGAACTGCCTGCAGGAAGAAGCGTTTACTCTTTCATTTACGTCTCTCTCAAATCGGAAAACAAACGCGACGGCGAGCTAAGAATGCAGCCAGCGGAAAGGACATATGGGAGTTTTCTTCGTAAAATCTTCCTCAATTTTCCCTTCAACTTAAAGAGATAACGTTACAGTTCACAATATTCAAAATGTGTGCACGATCACCGTCACGTGCTGGGCGGCGCGCGTCGTAAATATATTTGAATTATTAAACTTCGTTACCGCGACGACTTCACGGGTATTTCTCCTTTCAACATTTTTTATCGATGCTCGCGATGTTGCGCCTCACGTACGAGTACTCACCCCTGGAAAATCGAGTCGCGTCACGTTCGAGGAGTTCGTTAGACGCCGGCTTATCCGCCGCATGATTCGACCAGAGATTCAGTCCTAAGAGCGACCATTGGTGCGTGATCTCCGGCAAGGTGAGCAGCACGCTGACGCTACTTAGCGCGCTTAGCCAGACAGAGCACCATCTCCCCACCGGCGTTAACGATGATGCTCCGGTTACCGTGGCGATACACAGGATAAATATCCCATGGTAGCGTGATGGCATAATATCGCACCTTCGGAATCACCGGTACGCGCGAAAACGCATTCCCAACGGCGATAAAGCGCGAAGTCGCGAGGAGGGCACATCCGCGGCGGCTAACACCCGAAGACCCGAGGCCGCCGACTGACCGTCAATGGGACCAACGCGAATGTGTCAGGCCCACGCATCTCTCAGGGCCTCTCCTGCCACCGGTCACGATATCCCCGCACGAGTACGTTTTTGTATGTAGGTCGATTTTCATTGAGATGATAGAGGATACGCGTCACGACGATTACCGATAAACGTGCTTTATAATGCGATACTTCGAATCTTTTATAAGTCATTTTTAGAATTTTTTTATAAACACCTCCTTATAATCTTTTATAAATTCTTTACAAAGAGAAGAAAACAGGTTTTAAAAAAAAACAACAATGTGATGAAATTAAACCTAATAAGCGGAAATAAATACAAGTAACAGTATAAATAATAATAACACGATAAATTGAAAAAATGTGTCTTTCAATTTAATTTCGATCGTTTTGCCTCAATGACAATAAATAAGATTATTCGTTCCTATAAAAATTAAAGTCACAAGATTTATCTTGTAATCATTTTATCAATTCTCTAAATCTGAATCAGTGGAAAAGTACTGAAAAATCACTGATTAAATCACCTATATAATCTAACTAATTTTACTAATAATTATCTATAATTAAACTATGAATATTAATCTATAATTTCATTGATTACCAGTGAAACACTTAGGACTAATTAATGCATTCAATCAATAACCATTGATAATTAATAACTATATGCACTGATTCAGATTTAGAGAAAAAAAAATATTTTTTAATAATAATTTCCGTATTTTAATTTTAATTATAGATAAAAATCAATCTTTTTCATAAATCTTTTTTATCTTTTTTCGTATATAAATCACATGTATATTATTTTTTCATAAATCTTTTTTATCTTTTTTCGTATATAAATCACATGTATATATCTATAATTTATATTAATTATTATAGAATTTGTATACTATTAATTTATATAATCTCATTTTTTAATTAAATAGCATAATACCATTTTGATTTTAACAAATACTGAATTTAAATATTAATTATCGTTATTTATTAAAATATTTTACATTAATTATTTTATATCAAATTGTTTATGTTATATCAAAAATTAATTAATAGAAAATATTTTTTCAAGTCGCGACGAACAACATCGCGAAAAACATCTCAATTAAATTTCTTATACAAAAAATTATATTTTCACAAATTTCATAATCTTATATATCTTTTCACATTATTTTTTAAAAACTCGTCTTCAATGTATAACTGCAACGTCTGCAACTACAATTCGTCGTCAATCTGCCGTATCAATGTACGTTAATATGCGAATCTGTTTTCTCGACGGTACATTTTTTCCTGAATTACTATCAGCTGATTGACATTTGTCAATTTACTTCGACGTCTTGCCACGTTCGTGGAAGGGCGCATCGCCCGTTTCGTATAATCACTATAATCGTATCCAGTCGTTTCTGTCATGCTCGCACCGACGCACTCTCGCCTCTCGCCACTCTCTCGCAGCAGTTGCCAGCGGCCAGCGCAGCTAAAACGTATGGCAATTACGGGGTAAGGTTTGCGCCCTGCGCCATGGTCGCGAGGAAGAGCTGTTTCGTCGTTTTTCATAAACGTGGTTGAAAGACGATCGGACCGCGGGCAGTCTTACTGAACGTGCGACGACGACGACGACGACGACGACGACCGGTTAATTAGGTAAGTCAACTTCGTCGGCTCGCCGAAATGTGCCCGGGATGTGTGAAACGTGGCGTGTGAAGTCGAGCGATCGCCTCGGGTGATCCGAGATGACGCGGGGGGCGACGAGGACGTGTGCTCAATTTTCAGGGGAATCATTCTCGTCTTCCGCAAGCGTTTTTACGTCTCCGTCGCGATTGCTCCGCGTGTCTCGCCTCCACGAGGACGCGTAGTGGCACCGAAAGTTGTCATTACGTTATCTTAACCTCCTGGCATTGTTATCTCGCTCTCTTTCTCTCTCTCTCTCTCTCTCTCTCTCTCTCTCTCTTTCTCCCCACGTTCGATTGTTACGATGATGTTTACGCGCGATTATCGGTCCATTCCGGTTTTGGGACGGAAGTGCCGGGTCATTGAGGAATGCACGTATTCTCGTAGAACGCAGAGTGGCCACACACACACACACGGCTGTCGGTCGTTGGCGAACGATCGACAGTTACTCGCGGAATTATTCTACCATTTATCCTCAATTATATTTATTATATCAGTCAATTTGGCGAAGTTAAAGAGCGTTTTAACTTCGCCGCCCGCTTGTGGCGTCTCCGAACTCTCCGACGGGAAGATCAGTTCAGTTTAAGTTGTTCCTGGTGGTTTTTTGGTGGTTTTTCGTAGTGGAGCGGTACTTGGGATTCGTGAGATTTTCTCTTATAGTTGGTAAGTAGCTGGGAGGATTGTCCAAATTACTCCAGCAAGGTAGTAAATAGCGATTACTCCTAGCGTAATCGTGAATGCTAAGATAAAAAAAAAAACGCCTTACCTTCCCTAGTATTAAACATTGTATAATCTTGTCATCTGCGCACGTATAAAAATTATTATTTACATTCGTTTGTAAGCATAAATATACAAATACGGCCGTTTATGCAGCTTCTGTACCTTGTACTTTGTATTATAATAGAATCGTAAACTCATATTTATTTACAAAATAATTCTTAAATATAATGTGTTCCACTTTGTGCCACGTGTCCCGCGCACGTGTGCACATCGTACTTCTAAAGTTAAGTATCTAAGTATGATATTTATCCTTGATGCGTCTACTAATTGTGTTACATATTGGATATATGTATATATTATATATATCCAATGTATGTTTATAATATATGTATACATATATATATGTATATATACGGCACTATAAATATTTTTAACCGGTCAAATATTAGTTGTTAGCACGTGCGGCAATAATAATGGTAAGTAAGTACGGCTAATTCAAATTTTTCACTAAAAAAATAAAAATCTAAATAATTAACAAACTTGATACGCTACCAGAAACCGCTACTGCAGGGTTGGCTGATGCAATACGTGAAATTATATTCACAGATAAATTCAATTATCTGTGAGCATAATGTTTCCTTACACTTATGGTGCATCATGATTTTCTTCCAAAAGTGCCTTTTCGTAGCGATGAAAAGTTACCTTCGCGAATCTTAGATGTCACTTTTCTTGTAAGCGAAATGCAATTGCAGTTTTTTGCCAACCTTGATGTATATATAGTCGTCCCCTTTTTTTTGGCCTTATAAGATTTCGATATTTTCAGGGAATATTGCTGATGACCGTGTATCCGCTATTACGGCCGTACGATGCAGAACTTTGACGATCTTGATATAGAGGGACGTAATCCTTCTCATTTATCGGAAGAGGACAAGGAAAAGGTAAACAGAGGATGTAATGCTGAAGACTACGGAAACGAATCAATCGCCACGAGTTTGTTATCAATTGTGCATGTAGTAACTGCAAACAAATATATCTTGTCAAATATGCGAGTCCGAATTCCATAGTCAGAACAATTGTTTCACACGTCTCCGTCATATATTTAACATTGTCCACAAAAAAAAAATATATATATATATGGACCGTCGCGAATTGCGGATATTTTTTAAGACTAGCCCTCGACAACGGAAGATCGATCTGCCTCATGAATCGTTTATGTTTCATGTTTATGTAGGAAGAATATGATCGGAAGCGTATAATGCGATGCAGCGTTACCGCCGAAGACGGCGCACTGAGACCCGTGTACTCCGAGACCGAAGATGGTGATATATGGTGTCATATCTGTAACGTTGCCTTATTCGGGGCCCATAAGTTAATAAGTCATAACTTGTGTAATCGTCACAAAATGAAACTGGACGAGTGGCCGTATCCGGTTATGCTGTGGTCCAAACGACCGGACGTGACCAAGATAATCGCGCCGGTGCAGTCCGCCACTATCAGCGACACCCTGGCGCCCGGTGAGCCCGTACCACCTGGTATGGAGGATCAAATAACGCGGACCACGTCGATACAGATGAGCTTGGACCGTCATCAGAGCTCACCGCTCGTCGGCCTCGAGTACCTGCTGGAGTTGGTGGACAACGACTCCTGCGAACCGAGTTACACGTGTGTTTTGTGCGACAAACGTGGCGATCCGCGCACAGTAATGGCCCACATTACCAGTTACAATCACCGGATCACGTATCTGAATAGACACTTTCCAACTATATCGCGAGCAATTACGGAGCTACCGCGTACCCCTAACTATAAGCGCGGGGCCAATGAAATATCGGTGTTAGTGGCGAGGAGAATCGAAGAAAAGTTTGGAAGAATGAAGCCACAATTGGTAGACAAATCTCAGTTTGAAAAGAATAAAATGCAATATATCAAGAGGGTATATCAGGACGTTCATTTTAGGTAAATCGAAGTATTCGATTAATACGATAATTATTGTCGTTAATCAAATTTCATCTTCTCAGTTTATGACTTACGTTCAATAAGACATCAATATTTAATAATGCAGTTCCAATTTCTAGTTATTTTAATTTTTTATTCGACTTTATTAATATCGCTTATCATTAAACAAACCAATTTGGCTGTTTCCTGTATACAGGGAAACACCAGAGTGTACATTTATGGAAGTTTACGATGTGCGATGGGTGACAAATTTTGATGAAAAAATGGCAGAAATGAATGGTAATAATGTTAAAAAGAAAGGTGAGTACAACATGCACTTTACATAACTGTTTCTGAAATGTTTCTGAATAAATAATAAGATTTTTTAAATTATTGATTTCCATCAGATTCTCCTGATAAAAAGATTGACGACAAAAATAAAAAAGAAGAGAAGAAAAAGGAAAAGTCACCTAAAAAGTTAGATTCTAAAGGAGAAACTACGAAATCGTAAGTAAATGGAGGAACAAAATCAAAAATATACGTGATCGATAGAGAACTAATAACTATAGCCTCTACTGTTTTGGTTAATATTTTTACTAAAGAGAACTAAACTGTTACTTCTACATTTTGGTTGATATTTTAATTTACTCTTATAAAGTGCTTTGTTATAAAAATTTTTTAATAGTTGACTAATTGAATCTGTTTCAAAATTATTTTTTTATTGATTATTGTTTGTATGTACAGTCGTGGACATATTGGTTGCGACACTTTTTTTTTAATAGGTTTCCAAATGCACTAATATTTTGCAAATGGGAAATCACGATTGGTGTACTGTCTCTAAACTAAAGATAGTACACCATTGTGATTCGCATTTGTAAAATATTTTAGTTACTTATAAAACATATGTTACATTTATTAAATATATAATAAAAATCTATGAAAAAAAATGTTGCAATATGTTCACGACATCTATAAATAAACAGAAAGAAAATAGATACATTTTTATTTTATCATTATTTTCTGGTAGAATTGTAATATAATTTTTGAATGCGGATATTTTTGAACTTCGAAATTTTTCTCATTTTAGGGGTTTCAAAATGCGTATAGTTAACAAGGACAAAATGAATCTTCGTAAAACCTCACCGAAACCCGTGGAGGAGCACGTAAAAAAATCACCGAAACGACCCTCAGATGACACCAAGTCGCTTTCGTCACTTTCCAGTATATCTAGCAGTCCCTCGCCATCCCGTTCGAGATCTCGCTCGCCGAATCGAAATAAAAGAAGAAGTTCCGTCGAGAGAAGCACAGGAAGGTATCGTAGCGGTTTGCGGCACTCGCGCGAACGTACCCGTGGTCGATCGCGATCACGATCGCGTTCGCGGTCTTTACAGCCTCTTAGGGAACGCGACAAGTGGGATAAGTATCGCGAGCAGATCAGACGCGCCGAGGAAACGTTAGATCGTGCTCTGAAGTTCCACGAGAAGAATCCCGAAAAGCATCCGTCCTATCCGGACGAGTGGAAGAAATTCTGGAATAGACGATACAAGGAACTTCAAGCCGAAGGTAATGATCCAAGCAAGCACGACTTCAAGCCGGAGTGGATTGAGTTTTGGAACAAGCGGATGCGCGAGATTCACAACGAGCAGCTTCAGCAGCGGAAAGAAGAGATTAGAAAGAGATTGGAATTGCCTGAAGATAAACCGCCAGAAAAGTGGATTCCACCGAGGCGAGAGCGAGAACGAGAACGAGAGCGGGAACGGGAACGAGAAAGAGAACGAGAACGTTCCCCTACTGCGAAGCGCAACAGGCATCGCATAGAAAGCGACGACGAGGTGGAGTACGTTGGCACGAAAACGGTCAAGCCTGATTATTACGATCGGCACGAAGTCAGGGATCGAGATTACATGTATTCTACGTATTCGCGCGGAAGAGGAAGCGTATACAGTCATAATTATCCGTCGCGTACTAGGCCGATATATTATGCGACGCCGTACCCGGTAAAAGATAAATCTCCCACCCCACCGCCTGTCACGGAGGAGGTATTGACGGAAGATCTTGAGGTGGTCGGTTTACTGCGATTGCTCACTGCGCTCGAGGGACAGTTGGGTTCCCTTGGCCCTAAGATAGTATCGCTTCTGTCGAAAGCCTTAGCGGCTGAGAAGGCAAAGCCAAATTCCGCCGAAGAACTGCTATATGACGAAGAGGTGAGCGTTCTCTTCGAGACCGTTAAAGAAAAACTCAAGGGTCAGCTGTTTGCGGGCATGGTAGAGAAAATGGCGATTACGGCCACTAAAACGGCTATACAGAATATCGCCAAGTTGCTGCACAAGGCTTCCGAGAGCAAGAAGAAACTAGAAGAGGAGAAGAAAAAGAAGGAGCGAGAACTTTTGGAAGCATCTAAACCCACGATCAGTTACATCAACCGGACCGCGTATTCAAGACCGGTGGAGGTAGCCGCGCCAGCGATTAAGTCTGAACCGGTGAGCGTACCGGGTGTCGGCACAGTTGATAAAGTCGCTATCGCTCAGCAGATTGCCGCGGCCCTCGTCGCGCAAGGTAGATCGAATGTCTCGCAGGAGGAACTGGAGACTCTGATTAACGCTGTGGTTGGCATGGCGGAGGCGTCGAAACACTCTGACAAACCCGTCACGACCGCCGACTTCGTGAAAGGCCTGGCGAATTGCGGCACTGTCGCTCCTCAGGCGACAGAGCCTGCCAAAACGACGATCATCCCGGTCGAGCCCGCGCAACCTAAGGCCCCGAAAAAAATAGAGGACTTATCGGACGACGATCTGAAAATTAAGTTGCAAAAATTTAAGGATTTGAGTACAGAGGAACAGCACAGTCTCATAAGTTCTCTGAAGAAACTTGAGGCGAGCGATCCGACGAGAGTCGAGAAATTGCGAAACTTCGTTAATCTCGGCATGACACTACCGTCAACGTCGTCGTTGGCAATGGGAAATATGAAATCGCCGAGTCCGGAGCGAGTCGAAGCGTCCATCGGCAAAGGCAGAAAGAGCAAATCCCCATTCTCCACTCGTAAAGGGAATCAGAATCCACCGGACGATGAGGATAAGTGGAAACCTAAGCTGGACATGTTCGCGAATGACGAAGAGGACGAGAAGCAAACGAAAAAAGATAGCGACGACAAAGCCAAGACGATAGACTTGTCCGACGACGATGACGACTATACGTACGAGGATATCTACAAGGCGGCGAGCAAGAACGTGAGCGAGAATGAGAAAGCGAAGAAGTCCCGTGCTTTCTCCAAATCACCGAAATCGTGGTCTCGGTCGCGCTCGCGCTCACCGTCGCGATCGAGATTGCGATCGAGATCGAGGTCGAGGTCGCGATCGCCAATGCCGAGGCCGAAGGAAACCGCGAAAACGAATGACCCGAACGCGATACTGAACGAGACCAAGCGTCTGATCGCGAACATCATGTGCGACCTGCCGAACAAATACGTACCGAAGTCGCTGAGTCTGGGCGGCGAGAAAATCGAGCCGATACCGGGCGCTAACGAGCCGGCGCCGCCTGGCGCGGTGCCGACCTTTTACAATCAAGGTTTTCTCTCGAACAATCAGCCGCGGCCGCAGGAGCAACCGCCGTTGACCTATCCCAACGTGTCGAGTCAGCAGTTCTCGAGCTACCCACCGCAGCCGCAGATGTTCTCCAACAATCCCGGATACATGGACAATAGTTACAATTATCAGGGTTACGGAAATCCGATTAATCAAGGCCAATACGGCGGACCGCCGAGTCAGTATCCTCAGCAGACTTACGGCTCCTACGGTGCGTCGCAAGCCGCGCCTCCGCCAAGCTACGTTCAGCAACCCCCGTCGCAGCAGTATGACCCTTACATGCAGCAGCAGCGGTTCTATTGAACGACATTGTCCTGCCTCGTCGGCAGGTGCCCTCGAACGAACATTCGCGTCGCGTCGCGGCGCGTCAGGTCCTCGCATCATTGAATGTATCGGTTACGAAGTCCGGAACGAAGCTCCCGTTCTCTTTCTCTGTGCACAAATGTGTAAGATGCTTGTGCATGTTCTGAACTCGCGCTTCATGTGTCTTTAAATTTGAATCGGATTTTATTTCGCGACTAGCTAACAACTACGCAGCACTTTCGTTTCCGCGTCTGCGCAAGTGCTTTCGTAAATGAAAAGTATTTAAAAGAAAAGTACTTACATAAAAATTTGTGATACCAGATGTTCTGCCCGATCATCCCTCTCTCTATGCGTGTATCTTCGTTTGTTTATTTATTTGTTACGAATGCAACGCATCTCCCTATCCGTGTATAATCCACACATTCGGATGCGACGAGGTAAAAAAATAATTATAATTGTCATATCTTCAAATGAGACGGAATCTCGTTTCAATGTATAATAACTCGCGAGAATGCATCAGTTGTACATCTGTTAATTGTTAATGTTCGAAATCCTTTTTTTACTCGTTACATCGAGCGTATTTTCATTCATCACAATTCGTATTCGTTTTCGCGTATGTTTCCATGTATTTGCTGCGCGGCTGTGTATGTGTGTGCCAGTGAAAGTCTTGTTAAGCTGTGTATATCGAGAATGTACGTACGTCGCGTTTGAGTGAATTTGTACATGCACGAAGTGAATGTGTTGTATACAGCGACTTCGACCAAACGAAAGTAAGTAAAATAAACAGACTAATCGCCAGAGCGTGTGCATCGTCACAACATAATTTCACTATTTGTAATATATCTGATATAAGTAATAATTCACCATCGCTTTTTCGTCATAGACATTTAACAAAGCAGATCGTAATGATAATGGTGCAAAGGACGTTTTTAGGTTAAAATACTTGATAACGATGACACGTTTAACATTTACTATAATCAAAGTGTAATTCTTTAATAAATGTCACAAAAATAGCGCATTGCAATACATTTCCTATTAATTTAAAATAATAACGAACTTTAACGACTTATCTTATGTTTCAGCGAAGACAAATAAGTAATTGAAATGCGTGATCGACTAACAAAAAAAAAAAAAATCAATTAACGAGATCGATGAAAAATATTGTCTTGTTAAATACGTATGTATATTCCTTTTAAAATAGTCCTTACGACGCAGAAATCAGGGAAGAAATTTCAATTAGGAACAAATTTCAAGAGCTATTTTATACTGTATTATTACAACAGTTACATGCTCGACGTAGCGATATTATATGTTTACGCATTGCACAATGACTAGAGAATTGCAGACATATTCCGTTCTTTCGTCCGTGTATCTCGAGGTAATCCCGCGAGTAATTAAATAAAGCACAAGATGCGGTTCATACAATATGTACACTCCCCTTTACAAACGAGAAAAAGAAGCGCGCCGATTCGGGGTTTTTTTTTTTTTT